CTCTCTCTCTCTCTCTCTCTCTCTCTCTCTCTCTCTCTCTCTCTCTCTCTCTCTCTCTCTCTCTCTCGTGCCTTCGTGCACGCCAAAAAGGAAGCTTGACTGTCCAGACTGTTTCATCGGAGGTTGAACCCCGACAGTCTGCCCAAGATGCATCTGGGTGCGTGTGTGCGACGTCATGTTCGCTTTACACAACTCCATAAAAAAAGGTTCGACTATGCCAGTCTGAACCAAGCACCGATTCCACGATGCACGTAGCACCGTTGCACTTAGCACTAAGCACAGATCCCACGAACCAATTGCGGACGCACGTAGCACCAAAACCAAGCCAAGCACGGAGTAGCACGAAGTAACACAAATGCACCCAGTAGCACCAAGACTGACCAAGTAGCACGAAAGTGCCACCGATGCACGAACCAAACACGACCAAGCATGAAGTACCAAGCACTGAGAGAAAGAAAGGGAGAGGGAGAGAGAGAGAGGGATGAGAGAGAGAGGGATGAGAGAGAGAGGGAGAGGGAGATCCACAGAGAGAGAGAGAGCGTTACGGTAGGCAGGTTGCATGGATCGTGTAGACTGTAGGTTGGTCGCCTAGGTCGCGTAGGTCGCCTAGGTGGGCGTAGGCAAGTTAGTAGGTCGCGTAGGCAAGACCGTAGGGGACAAAGTACCAAGAACGGCGTACATAGGGCAGTTTGTCGCGTAGGGCATTCTGTCGCATAGGGCAGTTTGTCGCGTGGGGCGGTAGTTTGTCGCGTAGGGCAGCCGATCCGGGCCGACGGCCCGGATTTCTGCGCGATCTTAAGACTTTAAGATCGTGCGTCTATCCAGGCCGTCCGGCAAAGCGGACGGTCTGGATCGCCTTGCGATCTTAGTCTTAAAGTCTTAAAGTCTTAAGATCACGCGGAAATCTGGGCCGTCAGCCGGCCTGGATCGGCCAAATGTTGCGCGCCAAATCGCGATTTCTATAAGTGTAGGGATAATAATAAAATGAAGAAAAAGAAGAAGAAGAAGACGAAGAAGAAGAAGAAGAAGTGTGCCAAATGGCAAGCATAGGAAGTGGGATCTGGGAATTTACAATACTAAGGAAGGATACAGAGTCACTGATATGGAATGGGAATGCCTAAGAATAGGTGTAGCCTATACCGTATAGGCATATAGCGAGATGGTTTCGGGATGGGCTGGAGAGAGGAGATATAAGCAGCCCGCGTGGCTGTAAGGGCTGCGCGCCCCTCCCCCCCCCCTCTCCTCGTGCCCTGCCTCGCCTGGGCCCCCCCTGCTGCATGACTGGCTGAAGCTACTAAGCTTCCCGGCCAGCAGACGAACCTGCCAGGAAAGGCCATGGTTTGGGGGGAGGTTCCTAGCCAGCAGGTTCACCTGCTGGCAGGGGGGAGCGAGGGGCAGGGGGAAAGCGGGAAAGGGCTGGTGTTACATGCTGAAAGCCTACACACGGGCCCCTCACGGGACCCGAGGTTGGAATAGGGCCCCCAGGTCGCGTCACCGCAACCTGAAGGCCCTATG